AAAGCAGCCAGCAATAAGGATTATGAAACCAACCCCAAAACAATAATATAACAAAACTGCGGCGCTAAATGATGTGTCTATAATAACTTAAAAAAGGTATACAACTGTATAACTAAATCAAAATTATACAGAAAAAAAGTGCACAAACACGTCATTCAAAAAACAGTGAATAACATAAAAGGTGTCCCAATAAATTGCAAAAAATAGTATCCAACACAAAAAAAAAAAGTATCCAATACGAATGAGTGTCACCGTGGATCAAGGTAAAAAGTTAAAAAAAGTGTAAAAATGGTGATCGCAGGATCGCAGGAAATAAAGGAAATAGGAGCCTCCACATTAGATCTTCCACCAATCTAAAAGGAAAGCTTCCACCAGACAGACACCTCATCAAATGTTCTGACCACCTATAAAGGAATGGTTATATGCACTTTTAAAGCTAAACACTGGGATGCCGCTGGATCTCAAAACAACTCTCTCCTTCAATGTACTCCAAATGGTGTCCCCGGGATTATAGATAGCAGTGGCGTCACTAGGGGGGTGCAGGGGGTGCGTGCTGCACCGGGTGCCTCCATCACAGGGGGTGACACCAAAATGAAAAGAAGAAAATTCGTTAGATCAGACATAGCTTCCTCTCTCGAGTCTGTTTCCTGTGCAGGAGCAGGATGCCAGCCAGGGGCGGACTGACAACTCATGGGGCCCCCGGGCAATAGGGGATCATGGGGCCCCTGTGTCCTTGCCCAAACTAAAAAAAAGCCTATGAAAAAGGTACCAGGGGCATCTCATAGGGCCCCCTACTGACCCCGGGCCCTCGGGCGGCGCCCAAGTTTCCAAATGGTCAGTCTGCCCCTGATGCCAGCAGCGCTTCTGGGCTTGAGCTTGGCCCCCACCATCACCACACTCAGAGCCGGCCAAAGTGAACTACAGTATACAGTCCAGGCAGGAGAAGTGACAGCGGCAGAGAGGAGAGAGTGGGGAGGAGATGCAGGCTTCTCTGTGATCTCCCTCCTCCTGTCATACAGCGATCCTCCATACAGAAGGTTACATAGGATACAGGGGCGGACTGGCCATTTGGAAACTAAGGCACTGCCCGAGGGCCCGGGGTCAGTCGGGGGACCCATGAGATGCCCCTGGTACCTTTTCATAGGCTTTTTTGGGTGTGGTTTGAGTGTGGGTGAGGACACAGGGGCCCCATGATCCCCTATTGCCCGGGGACCGCATGATAGGATCACTCTTAGATCGGATGGTACACGGCTTCATTACCCATCCCCATCTCCTTCAAAGACTGCTCAACTCCTGGAAATGTGGATGGGGGCGGGTAATCATGCCGTGTACCAACAGATCTAAGAGCGATCCTATGTAACCTGCTGTATGGAGGATCACTGTTATGACAGGAGGTGGAGATCACAGAGATCCTGCATCTCCACACTACTCCTGTAGTCAGTGGCGTCACTAGGGGAATGTGTACCCCAACGGGTGACACCATCTCAAAGAGTTACACCAAATAAAATGTTAAACGTATTTCACCAGAAAATAAAAAATCCGTGAAGAGTTTTAACGAAAATGATAATGTTGTTATGAATGTCAAGTTGAACCAAAAATATCTCGTAACTAGGGGTGGACTGACCATTCGAGCACCGGGCACTGCCCGAGGGCCCGGGGTCAGTAGGGGGCCCCATGAAATGCCCCTGGTACCTTTTTTATAGGTTTTTTTGAGTTTGGGCAAGGACACGGGGCCCATGATCCCCTATTGCCCGGGGGCCCCATGAGTTGTCAGTCCGCCCCTGCTCGTAACTGTTGTCTGGAGGGGTGACACCACATGTTACCACACCGGGTGACACCAACCCTAGTGACTCCTCTGGAAGTTGGTTTTACTACACCATGAGAGATTCTTCTTTGTTCTATCTCAATTTAATAAGGGATAAGAACATCAAGGAGTACTGAATAGAAATGCCAGAGCATCAGATCCTCCTTCGGTGGTTGGCGAGAGCCCTCTTCCGTGTTTTGGCTTGCGTGATAGCGTCACCTCCTCTGGTAATACTCTTTTAGTTTTTCTGCGTTCAGCCAGCAGAAGCGATCTCACTATTGAATTTTAAAGATATTGAAAATATAATAATATTTTAACCTGCGCCTATAAATGAATAGGTACACCAAACTAAGTGTATAGTGTAAAACCATTTAAAACATTTATTAAACCATAGAAATGCACTTACATGCTTCAAAATTTAACCAAAGAAATTAACCACTTCAGGTCCGGACACTTTTACCCTCTTCCTGTTCAGGCCAATTTTCAGCTTTCAGTGCTGTCACACTTTGACTGACAATTGCACGGTCATGCAACACTGTACCGATTTGAATTTTTTAGCATTTTTTTGAGACAGATAAAACTTTATTGTGGTGGTATTTATTCACCACTGGGATTTTTATTTTTTTTCTGCTATATAAATGAAAGAGACAAAAAAAATTTTGAAAAAAGTGTTCTTATAAAATTTTGCAAATAAATAATTTTTCTTCATAAGTCTTGGCCAAAATGTATTCAGTTATCTTTTTAGTAAAAAAAAATAACCCAAATTAGTTTATAACCAAAAATTATAATTTTTCTTTGGAATTGGGACTCACTTTTATGTTTCACTTTTTTTATTATTTTTATTGTATTGGAATTATTGTATTGGAAGCAATGTCACATCTACCTTCACGGATGATCAGCTAGGATTGTATTATTATAACTGATTTATGCTTTTAGCTCTACACTTTTATTTGTACATAGAGATAAAAAAAACGGAAGCAGCGTGCACACCATGGACCAGATACTATGTCACCATGGCGCTCATCACCTGACGTGCTTTGCCCCTCCTACTGGGCATCCTCAGAGGCTATTTTACTTATGTGAGTGGAATACATACTTTTATCTGGAATTTTTAATAAATGTTGTTATACTATGTGGCTATATTTTTTTATTCCTTATGAGCGCCTAAATTCTTGGCTACCATATACGATCATCCTCGCAATTAAAGGGATATATCCGCATCGTGGAGGACTACAAGTGCCAGCTATTCAGGGATTTTTTTCCCACTAATCTTGAATCCATACAAGTCGGTGAGTGAGGGGTACCATCAGTGGGAAGCACAGTGTTTGTTGTTCCAGCACTTTTATAAAAAGATCACAGCACAAGTTACAATTATAATTAATCACAGTGCATGGACTTTATGAGGAATGGTCATATAAAACACTGTATATTATTGTTCAATATTGGAAATATGACTGATCATGCCAAAAAACTGTCTTTTATTTAAGGATAGTAGTCATATGAAGCTATTTATTATCACATAGTTGTTTGGCTCATTTTTAAATCATAATGATAACATTGTGATTTAAAAATGATACCCAAATACCCTGATCAAAAAGTTTCCATCCCCTGGAATGTTTGGCCTTGGTACAGACTCACAAAGTGACACACAGGTTAAAATGGCAATTAAAGTTTAATTTCCCACATCTGTGGCTTTTTAAATTGCAATTAGTGTCTGTGTATAAACAGACAGTGAGTTTGTTAGCTCTCACGTGGATGCACTGAGCAGGCTAGATACTGAGCCATGGGGAGCAGAAAAGAACTGTCAAAAGATCTTTGTAACAAGGTATTAGAACTTTAAACAGATGGAAACGGATATAAAAAGATATCCAAAGCCTTGAATATGCCAGTCAGTACTGTTCAATCCTTTACTAAGAAGTGGCAAATTTAAGGATCGCTTGATACCAAGCCAGGTCAGGTAGACCAAGACAGATTGCAGCCACAACTGCCAGAAGAATTGTTCGGGATTCAAAGAAAAACCCACAGGTAACCTCAGGGAAATGCAGGCTGCTCTGGAAAAAGATGGTGTGGTTGTTTTAAGGAGCACAATACGACAATACTTGAACAAAAATGAGCTGCACGGTTGAGTGGCCAGAAAGAAGCCTTTACTGCACCAATGGCACAAAAATGCCTGGTTACAATATGGCTGACAACATCTAGACACATCTCACAGCTTCTGGCACACTGTAATCTGGAGTGACAAGACCAATATAGAGCTTTATGGTCACAACCATAAGCACTATGTTTGGAGAGGGTCAACAGCGACAAGAATACCATTTTCACTGTGATGGTGACTCACTGATGTTTTGGGGGAGTGTGTGAGCTCTAAAAGCATGGGGGATCTTGTAAAAATTGATGGCAAGATGAATGCAGCATGTTATTAGAAAATACTGGCAGACAATTTGCATTCTTCTGCATGAGAGCTGCTCATGGGACACTCTTGGACTCTCCAGCAGGACAATCACCCTAAGCACAAGGCCAAGTTGACCCTCCAGTGGTTAGAGCAGAAAAAGGTGAAGGTTCTGGAGTGGCCATCACAGTCTCCTAACCTTTTTATCATTGAGCCACTCTGGGGAGATCTCAAACATGCGGTTCATGGAAGATGGCCAAAGACTTTGCATGAACTCTTGACATTTTGCCAAGACGAATGGGCAGCTATACCACCTGCAAGAATTTGGGGCCTTATAGACAACTATTACAAAAGACTGCACCTCGTCATTGATGCTAAAGGGGGCAATACACAGTATTAAGAACTAAGGGGATGCCGACTTTTGAACAGGGGGAATTTCTTTGTTTACTTGTTGCCATGTTTTGTTTTATGTTTATGCCATTCTTTTATGACCTACAGTTGTATATTTATCCCACAAGAAATAAAAGAAACGTGTTTTGCCAGCTCACTCATATTCTCTAGAAAATTGGTACATACTGTATATTACAAATTCACTGTATATTACCAATTTTCCAAGGGGATGCAAACTTTTGAGCACAATTGTACCTCTGACCAGGTCCAGTGCTACCCCAGCTAATCTTATAAAACTGTATCCAAAAATATTCTTTATACACACTTTAAGTGAACATCAACTCATAATAAACTGATTTAGTGCATTTGGCTATCCGTTAGCTACAACACTTGATTTTGGATAGCCATGCATTAAGTTCATTTGAACCATTCAGCAATACTTGGTATTGTCTTATAAGGAGGGACCTCTTTCAATGCTCTACATATTTTGCAGTATGCTGGTAGGAACCCAGTTTTGGATAGCGTTGGCCGATATTTGAACCTCCAGTTAAAATACTGTCGATATCGTGGCTCATCCTTATCTAAATCCAGAAGATATTTGGCCAGTTCTTGAGGAGATGAAAAGTCATCAACATGAATAAAAGCATCAGGTGGAATGAAACGTTCATAATTTTTACGTGAAGGACCCATGGCAACAGGCACAGTTCCTGCCATTAATGAATTTCTCCAGAACTTTTCCGTGATGTAATCCTCATGTATGGAATTCTCAAAAGCGAGGTAGAACTTATACGTTGCCAGGGTTTGGAAAGTCTCGTTCCGCAGAAGAGGCAAACCATATTTTCCATACACATCAATTGAAATGTATTTCTTTAACTCCTCGTAATATTTGGTTCTTCTGTACTTTGTCTTCCAGTTACTAATCACCCATGCCAGCAACTTTGACTTGTGGGGGATTGTAAAATTTTCTTTTCCATCAACTTTTTCTAGCCATCCATTTGGAATATATATATCTGAATCGAGTCGGTAGGACATTGTGAGGTTAATTTTGTTGTCCATGAGCGTTAAATTTGGGCAGTTGGTTGGAGACTCCATGCTAAACCAGATCCAGTATTGGTCGGATGGTCTTGGCACTGGAGGTAAAAGCTCTTCTGACTTATATACATCCCTATGACTAATAACAACAGCATCTGCTATGGGGTACTCATTGCGATTCATGGTGTAGAAACAGCCGGAGTTTTCATTTCGTGGACACCTATTTAGAGGAAACTCGTATCCTAATGGCCATGTCCAAAGTAAGATGGTCAGCAGAGACCTATTGAAGTTCTCCAATGTCTCAGCTGCTGTTGGTGGCTTTGTCACAGTCAATTGGTTTGATATCACTGAGAACTCTGTCACAGAGTCTGATGCCACCTTTGGCGTGTGTTTTACTTCAACATTTTTTTTGACCAATGGTCTTTCTATGTGAAAATAAACATATGAAATGTAGGAAATGGTTCCCAATACTAACATGCTGAAGTAGACCAAAGTCCATTTTGAGTATTGTTTTAGGAAATACATATGGAAGTGATGCAGGTCCTTGAATTTGACTGATTAACGAGCGTCGTCTTTGATGTTTAGTTCAGTGTCTCCATGCCTGGGAAAAAAGAGAAACAGACTGCTAACAAGTAAAGTACACTAATGGTTACATTCTGAAATTGTTCACAGTGCATAAACCCAACAGTCTTTCCAAGGATTACCCCCGTCGAGTGTGTATATCAACAGCTGAAGCTTCTGTTTAGCAGCCAACAAAAAAAAAAGAAAAAAAATAGAAAGTTGAGGTTTAGTGATCCTGGGTTTATTTTTCGGGGAAGTTATATTTTATTTATTGCTAAGACCTATTTATTGCTAAGCATGGATGTCACACCACTTCCTCAAATTTCTAAAACTGAGCTCATAATATTCCCTCCAGCCCATGCCCCCTCCCCTGACTTCTCCATCAAGATCAATAATACAACCATCAGTCCTTCCCCTCATGCTAGGGTACTATTTGTAATCCTAGACTGCCATCTGTCCTTTCAGCCCCAAATCCAATCACTGTCCAAATCTTGTAGACTTCACTCCCGTAGCATCTCCAAAATATGCCCCTTTTTAACCGTTTAAACCACTAAGCAACTTATTTACTTCCTTGTTATCTCTCACCTTGACTATCGTTACTCCCTCCTCGTTGGCCTACCTCATCGCAGGCTATCACCTCCTCAATCTATCATGAATGCTGCTGCCAGACTCTCCCTTACCAACCGTTCCATGTCTGCCACCCCTCTCTGCCAATCCCTCCACTGACTTCCCCTTGCCCAAGGAATAAAATTCAAAACATTATCAACAACATACAGTGCCATTTACAATTCTGCCCCAAGCTACATCACCAATCTTGTCTCCAAATATCACTCATACCATCCTCTCTGCTCCTTTCAAGTCCTCCTGCTCTCTAGCTCCTTTGTCTTTTCCTTTCATGCTCGTCTCCAGAGCCTCTCCCATCCTCTGGAACTCCCTACCCCAATCTGTCCAGCTATCGCCTAGGCTATCCACTTTTAGGTGATCCCTGAAAATTTACCTCTTCAGGGAAGCCTATCTTGCCTTCAGCTAATAACTAAACCTTCTATTTCTCCTATCAGTCCATTCCCCACAGTTATTACCTTTTTGTACCACCAGCCCCTCCCTCTTAGATTGTAAGCTCCAAGGAGCAGGGCCCTCCTATCCCTCTTGTATTGAACTGTATTGTCTCCTTTTTATATTGTAAGACTGAGCAAACGGTTGGAGCTATATAAATTCTGAATAATAATAAGAACTTTCTTTAAAATTCATGATCTGTATTGTGCAGTTTTTACCGTCAAAGAAATGGCTGCCTTTTGTTTTTAGCACATCACTACATATTTGAACGGTAATGTATTGTGCACCAAAGCACCACATCTTTATTCCCCCTATTGCTATAGCTGCCATTAAATTTAGGCAATCCCCAGCATACACAGAAGGTAGTTGAGTGGCTGACAAAGCTTTCCCCTTCTTCCTCCTCCCAGGTTCAGAGCAGCCAGTTGTCTGCAGCTGCTGCTAATGCATCCTCTGCTTCCTCCTCTTCAGACTGCAATACTTACTTTTCGGTTGGTTCTTGAAGTGGTTATACCAGATGAAGCCTGCAGCTACAGGAGGTGATCTGATTTTTTTGAAAAAGCCATCCTAGCAGCTAATTAGCTGCTGGATTGCTTTTAGAGGAAGCAGGAGGGTTCCCCTCCCACCTCCCAACAATGCTTCGTTTGGCTCTCCGTTCCACTGGAGAACCCGGAACTGAAGCCAACAGTTCTGCCAAATTACCATAGAGCTTTTCAAGGACTGAAAGCAGGGGTGGACTGACAACTCATGGGGTCCCCGGGCAATAGGGGATCATGGGGCCCCTGTGTCCTTGCCCAAACTCAAAAAAGCCTATGAAAAAAAAAAAAAGGTACCATGGGCATCTCATGGGGCCCCCTACTGACCCCGCGCCCTCGGGCAGTGCCCGGGTTTCCAAATGGTCAGTCCGCCTCGGACTGGAAGGTCCCCAATCAGCTACATGGAAATCAGAAGTGACTAATACTTTGTCACTTCCGGTTTCCCCAAATGTTTAAATTGGAATCTTGGTTTGATCAGATGCTTTTAAGGGCAGAGAAGACATCTGGGGGTTTATTTACTAAAGCTGGAGAGTCCAAAATCAGACTCCCTTCTGCATAGAAACCAATCAGCTTCTAACCTCAGCTTGTTCAATGAAGCTTTGGCAATGAAACCTGGAAGCTGATTGGTTTTTATGCAGAAGGGAGTCTGATTTTGGACTCTCCAGCTTTAGTAAATAAACCCCCTGGGGTCTATTAGATCCCAGACCTCTCCATAAAGTGGACCTGTCCTGCCTATTGCTGGCACAAGGGATGTTTACATAACTTGTGACAGCAATAAAAGTGATTTTTTTTTTTTTTTTTTTTTTTTTTGAAAGAGACTGTAAAAAAAAAAAAAAAATGTTTTTAAAAAGTGTCCCAAACTTCCGTGGTCACGCACAAACCTCTAAACCCCAGATTGACTGTCCTTATATCATTTGTCTTATTTCAGGATGGGGACATTATGATGCATTACCTTGATGCAAGGCATACAACACATATTACAACAAGCGGAAGACCCATTGGGCCTCCATCACGTATATCACAGTGGTTTATAGTCCACACGTTGTGGTGAAGAAACCATGTAAAGCAGGGCTCTGCTATCTACATCTATTATTCCATCAAGGACATCAACAGGGACTCCTCTATTTATAAGCATTTTTTGCATCTACCAAGGGTGGATGGACCCCAATCACATGTGCCTCAATAGGGTTGTACTGCATGAATTCATATATTACTGGGGTATATCCCCCCCTTTATGTAATTTTTTACCCACATTGCCTTGAATAGGCTAAGGGATATGTCTCTCTCCATATGGCAAATGTATTAGCTATTATGTATAGCATGTCATAATTATAATATATATACCTATGGTACAATTTTTTGAAATACCTCCTACAGGTAGTGTAACCAATGTGCGGTGCTGCAAATGCTTTAGACAAGGCTTGTCATTGTCTCTGCAGCACATTTATATCCAGACCGGTCTTGGTGTGGTTTTAAATGGTTTTAGGTCTGTGTGTATTGTCTCATACTGAGGTGATGGTAAACCATGGTGATTGCCCTATTGTCTATCATTTAATGTTTAATAAAGCATAATTTTTTGGAAATTTTTCCGAGTATCGCATTCTGTCCATAATGTAGCCGCTTTCCTGTGAATCTCTTTTCACAAATTTCTTTGTTAGTTTGCATATTTTTTGGCTACTGGATGGAAGCCATATATTGGGTGATACAGCACTATATATTTGAACCTCTAAACCCCATTCTTTATTACACCACAAAAGGTAGCCTGCCACCACCCAACAGTTTATCCGCAGAATGGTCTATTGAGACACCCCCACACACACAGATCTCCGTCTGGCCAATCTGTTATCTTTTACAATCTGCACGCAATCTGCCCACACACAGAACAATTGCATACAGATTGGCAATGAGCTTAACCGAGCGTTTTAAGGCACTAAAATGCAATACAATCTAATCTGTCTGATCTAATCTCTCCGATCTAGTCTCTCTGAAGATATGAGCACGTGCTTAAATACACAGAAGTTCACTAATTAATTTTAAGATTTAATTTCCCAAAGTGGGCAGAGCATAAAATATGTACAAAATATAAAAAGTTACAGAAAATACAAAAGATATAAGAAGACACACAAATGACTAATTACTATAAAATAAAAAGGGCATAAAAAGACAGAATAACACTTTACCCTGCAGCTGGAGCAAGCCAGAAAATCAGCAATCTGCTAGTCGATCGACCAACTCCATACGGATCACAAATGTCCGTGTACCCAATTTATTGGGATTAGGAGATGGGCGGGACATTAGTCCTTGGCCAACCGACCATGGGGGGCGGCTCCTGCATCTGCCCACAATGTGCTGTGGATGCTGACCTGCCCAAGTCCAATTGGGCCAAGACTGGCCTGAACACCAAGTCGGGGATTGGATTTCCAACACCAGCGCGTCAGCCCGATCGCAACAGTACCAAACACCATCTGACCGTCGCGATGCCACGCCCCCCAACCATTTTCTGCTTTTTCCTGGCTTTCTCCCCAAGCCACAAATATGATTTTCATATGCAAATGCAGCGTACAGAATGGCCTACAAGAAGGAAGCATGTTCATATCTCTGCAACTAATATTTTAACTTTTATGAAAGATGAAACATACTTCATTGATGTGTGATGTACTTATAGAGCTTTCCACATAAGGCAGACAGTCTGTCTGCTGTCCTAGGCTCCAAACTGGTTTTCCCAGATAGTGATAACCTGATTGACACACAAAAGGTCTCACATCCAGGAACCTGGCTTTAGACTAATTAATGCGAATTGATGATTGAGCCTGTAAGGCCTATTGAGTAATTGTGTATACATACACATCTGTGTCCCAGAACAATTGATGACCCCTTGTTTGTACCATCTATTCTTTTCCCTACTGCCCAGGGGCTCAATATACATCCTTAATGACCAGTCTGTTCCTGAACACACCTTTTGTAATGAAAAGGCCTGACATAATCTAATCTACTCAACCTGTTATGGCTATGATTCCATATTTCCACTGATCAAACCTTTATCCACTCAAATCTTACATGTCTGTTATGTTACAGCGGCATAACACCATCTTTTATATTTTATTAAAAATTGGGTATTATATTGTATTTTTGTGCATTAACATTCTATAAAGTGTTTTTTTTTTTTTACAAATTTGCTGTCGAAAAACCACTGTGCAAATACTGTGCGACATAAAAAAAATGGCAAAACCAAACATTTTATTCTCTGGGGGCCTCTGCTAAAATATTATATATATGTAATGTAATATGTTCAGGGGCTCTAAGTAATTTTCGAGCAAGAAAGCTGATTTT